GGAAAGAATTCACAAAATAGAACAAAAAGATAAGCTAGACATGCTAGCGAAAAATTTGAGTCACCAAAATAGGCTAGATGGTGACTGGTGAGGCATGCATCATGATCACCGTGCCAAGAAAGGCAACACAACTTGATAGTCTGATGGAATTACACTACATTAGTTTGTATACGTGTGTGTAATATGTGTGTGTGTTTCTTTAAAAAAAAAAAGGATGCATGTATATTGTATTTGTGACTCTAAAATTTTCTTCTAGTGTCATTAGATTCTCATTCCATAACAACTTCAGATTGAAGAAGTGACAGCCATAGCTTTCCTTGGCTGACTCTTCAACTCCCAATTCCTATCCTCAAATCAGTTGAAATGCCTTCTCAATTTTGGTTGGGCTTCAAAAAGGTTTGGAACATACCTCAGTTCAACACAGAAATCGAACTTGTTTTAAGAGTTAATCGGTTATAATTTGAACTTTATACAACTAAGAAGCACATATACAGTTACGAGATACGACAAATCTTAAAGAATAGGATATAGACACATGAAGGATACAAAATAATAATATTAATAAAAATATATTATTATAAACAATTAACTTAATTCTCGACTTCTCTTTTATTGTCTTTTTATATTTCTATTTTTTATATTTCTTCTCGTTTTATTCTTCTTCTTTCTCTCTAATTGATTTGGCTTACATTTTTATATGAGCTTGAATAAACTTGTGGTGTTGTTTTTTTTTTTTTTGGCGAAAAATTTATATACTATGTTATTGTTGGGATTTTAAGCTTTATTTTTATTTTTACATTTTTATCCCAATGAATTTTAAATTTTGATATGAGCCCATGGTTTTTGTAAAATATAAAACAAAATTAAATACTCCACTATTTGACCATATTGTGTCCTGAATGTGTTGTGTGCTTGCATATCCAGCTTTGTCCTTGTCCCACGTTCTTACTTGCTGTATCCATCTCACAAAAACAATCATTTTAAAATATGAATACTTTTAACCGTAACCGACATGTGTCTGGCCATATTCTCGACATATCCAATCCTGGCAGAGTATCTATACTAGTTATACATCTTAGATTTTTTTTTCTCTTTTGACTTTTCAATTCAAAAATCTTCATTGGAATCACGCAATACACATTTTCTACTATAAAACAAAATTTAAATAGTGTAATTGAGTCCAAAATTCCTTACACAACCAACAAAATGCATTTACCAACAGAGAGCTGGCACCTTCACTTTCAATGCCAAGTTGCCAAATTATGAGGTTTGGTGCCCTAATTCTGTGGTAGCTTGCTTGTTACTTTATGTCTATTTAAAGGGGGGAAATAAAATGTGAAAACAAAGGCAAAAGGATGGGGCATTTATATAATAGTGTGAAAATGAGGGGTTTCTTTATAAAATCGTCAAATAATAAAAAAATTCAAAAGGACTTACTGGACAATAGGAAAAGATACGGTGGTCCAACCTTATCTTGCTAGAAAAGCACTTACACGTGTCGCTCAGCAAAGATAGATACGGAGCAAAGGACAGCCACTAGAAGTAAGATTCTTTTTACGCGCCACTCTTAGTATAGCGGAGATGCCCTGTTCATATGGGGACACGTGGCGTCAATCATGAGCTGGATTTTCAACGGCTGAGATGTCGTCATATGACCTTTTCACTTCACTTTTTGTTGGGTGGGCCCCTTTCTTGGATGAGGAGTTGAGGTGGCAAAATGTCCCCACTATTAAGTGTCCTTGCTGGCTGTGTAGTGTTCATGTGGGCCAACTTCCACGTGACACTAATTTCATTCCAAAAATAATTGTGTTGCTAGTGAGAATATTAAATCAATGCCCCCATTAGAGTTATAATTAAAGAAAAATTAGTTCTAAAATTGAATTAATTAATTAATTTATTTTAATTGATTAGGTGCTTCGAATCACAACATTAGTGTCCAAGCACACTTATTTGAGATTAATTTGATTGATTGTTATTTTTCTTTCAATTTAATTTTAAAAATTATAAAAAATAAGTTTTACACTATTGAAAGTTTTATTTGATGAAAATTAAATTTAATATTATTACACATCTTCGTGAACTGATCGATTTAATTAATTAATAATAACATTCGGTTAAATTTATTACATCACGCTCACAAAATATACAGCCATTAGGAAGAGAGAGTTTCATATTGAATCACGTCCACACAAATTTTGTTTACATTTTTCTAAACACAAAATAGGTTTTGAAAATGACTATGTTTGAATTCCATCAATCGCACTCGTGATTTATTCCCAAAATATATACAAACAAAGATGAAAAAGTTCCAAGTACTCTATTCAGTCAGTCTGCTTGACTTTTTCACTCCATAAAGATCTGTGAGAATTTGGCATAAATTGTCTTTTCTATGAGTAGTAATCGTTTTTGAGTTAATAGAATCTTATGATCTGTTTGGATAAGAAGTAAGCAAGAGGGGTGGGGGAAAGTAGAAAATTTTAATTGGGCCGCCGTGATGATTTGGTATTATCAATTTATTAAAACATTGATATATAATAATATGATTTATTAAAATAAAATATTTTTATTTATATAATATGATATAATTAATTGAAAATAGAGATAATGATTATTAAAGGTGCCAGGAAGTCTTTCTTAAAAGAAGGAAAAGAGACAAGAAAAAAATAGAAAAAATATAATGGATTAGTCATTATTACTTATTCATTAATTTTTCTTACGTACATTGTGTCTTCTTTCCCTTAAATTTAATTTTTCTCCTTCCTATCAAACAAAAAATTAGTCTTAATTACTAAAAAAGTGAATGATATTTGACCAACAAAGTAGTCTGGCTAAATAAATAAATTATATACCCTATTCAATATTTTTAAGTAAATTACATTTTGGTATGATATTCGTGTCACAAACTCTCTGCTTGTTATAGATAATAATAAGAAAAATGACACGAATTTAGAGAATGCAACAAGTATTGTGTGAGTTTATTATAAGGGATATTTGTCCTATATGAAAGGGATATAAATGGGTGGTATGTAGAACAAGTTATTAGGTAAATGAACAAGCGTCAATCAGTTACACTTAGTGTCAGAGTCAAACTGAATTTTTGATCTGGTTTCACGCCAAACGCCGGGCTCAGAGGCTTTAGAATGTGCCATCCGGATAAACAGGGTAATCCGACCCTAACGAGGGCGTTGCAAGTTCGAATATGGGAGAATGTAACAAGAGGAAGCTTTTGAATTCGCGAATTCTAATGAGAAATTGATTTGATATATATGAGCTGAATTGTTAGTCCCACTTAATAGCTTAGTGTTACAGGTCTAGAGATTTGGCGCAGCGGCATGGCCCGTGTGGCACCAAGGCGTTACTTCAACTCGTGCAAGCGCCTTGGTCAGCCACCACGACCTGCCCTCCTAATGATACATGCTGACTGGTTTTGACTTGCTTTGGTCTCATCAGGGGAACGGCTCCAGCTCCCGACCAGTTTGTGCAGGGATGACCAACTCCCTTCCTCATAGTCAAGTCCACGACCAGCGACAAGCTTCTCGCACTCAACCGAGTCGACCTGCCTGAACTTTGAAGAGGTACCATCTTGTGCTCCTGCACGCCCCTTTCCTGGAACCATTCCCAGTCAAACTCTGTTATTTGCTAACCAGCATACGTGTCTTTCATCTTCCAAGCGTCTTAGGAATCACTTCGTGACACTCTCCGCCACCCAAATCCTGCGACGCCCTTGTCGCAGTGCAGCACTTCACTACTGCGTCCACTCCCTTCCGAAGTCTGCCTCCAAGCGGTATGCTCACCTTCCCACCATCGCTTCCTTGTATAGTTCCCTGCACTACACTTGCCTAATGATAGGCCTCGGACCAAAGGGACGTTCACTCCTTAAGGACGTGACTCTTATCCATCATGCCACCTCCGCGACATCCCGAGCAAGCAAAGGCCTCCTGTCGACTTGATGTTCGCCCTTCACCATGGTTTGCATCACCCAAGGACGAAACACGAACTTTGGTGTGCGCGGCCCTCCAGTGCGCAACTTCAACAGACGCCTCTTCCTAGGGAGATGGAGGCTCTCCTCCCAACTGCATTGATTCCTCCTCATCGACGTAACTTCAGTGCACCGTCTTCATTCTCTTACCCCTCCCGGACCGACAAGGGGGCACCCCACAGTGCTTTACCCCAAGTCCTGCTCTGATACCATTTGTCATGGGCCTAGAGATTTGGCGCAGCGGCACGGCCTGTGTGGCACCAAGGCGTTGCTTCAGCTCGCGCAAGCGCCTTGGTCAGCCACCACGACCTGTCCTCCCAAGGATATATGCTGACTGGTTTCGACCTGCCTTGGTCTTATCAGGGGAACGGTTCCAGCTCTCGACCAGTTTATGCAGGAATGGCCAACTCCCTTTTTCATAGTTAAGTCCACGACCAGCGACAAACTCCTCGCCCTCAACCGAGTCGACCAGCTTGAACTCTGAAGAGGTACCATCCTGTGCTCCTGCATGCCCCTTCCTTGGAATCATTCCCAGTCAAATTCTGCTCTTTGCTAACTAGCATGCGTATCTTTCATCCTCCAAGCGTCTTAAGAATCACTTCGTGACATTAGGCTTTTCAATTGTATCGCAAAACACCCACACGTGGCTGTTCCATGGATGTCTGAGACCAATAAACTTCACACACATATAGTATTATTGCTCTGACAATAAACTCTTCCTAATTTGACATGTTTTTTATTTTTTATTTTATTATTTTTTTTTTACCATTTTTCAATATTTAAAACACGAACAAGTGTCTGGAGAAGAGAGTAGTGTAATGGGTAGTAAATGCTGACATGTACCAAAAAAGAGAGAGAAAGAAACAAGCACTTGGAAAGTAAAAACGTGGGAATCAAACAACAAACCAACCCTCTCCCAAAAGAAAGATGTCAAGGCCACACAACAACTTGTGGCTCACAATTCACTACCTTTGCTGACGAGGCATTTTCCCACCTCTATTCTTACTCCTTATACCCACCAAAATACCATCATCCAGACGACGACCAACCCAACAGCTCACCCTTCTTCCCAAGTCCCAACCTTGGAGTCTAGAGAGAGAAAACACTCATACAGAAAAGAAAAAAAAAAAAAAAAACACAGACACACACATGACTGAAGTAAAAGACCCTGTGATCAAGCTGTTTGGGAAGACGATTCAATTGCCAACCAACGAGGAAGCTTGTATTGATGCTAACCAACAGCAACACTACTACTCTGTTGATCACAATTCTCTTTCTTCAACCACTTCTTCTTCCTCTTCTTCTTCTCAAGAAAAAAGTTGCGACGTACTCGAACCAGCACAAGGAGACAACATCAAGGTATTAATGTGTGTGTGTGTGTTTTTGTATACATATAATTGGCATCAATTCTATGCTTTTCTAAGAACTACCCATTTTTTATAAATCCAAAACTAATAATGGGTCGATTTTACTTCTTGTGTTTTTTTCAAATTTTGCTTTCATTTCCCGAAAACTTTTGGCTTCAAGTTTTGAGTTTGTGGCATCAATTGTCTGCAATTTTGAGAGCAACCCTGTTTTGGTATTATAAGAACGGCCCATTTTTCATAAATGATAAATCAAAAACTATAATGGGTAAATTTTACTTCTTGTGTTCTTTTCGAATTTTGTTTTCATTTCGTGAAAACTTTGGCTTCAAGTTAGAGGTTGTGACATCAATTATCTGCCATTTAAGAGCAACTTTTTTTTTTTTTTTGGTTTCATTACTTAATTATACTCATTATGGGATGGTAATTTTGTTGGACATTAAAAAAAAAAAAAAAATGGAATAATAGTTTGAGGGTTTTGGTTTTATCATGCTCAAGTATTTTTACCTGGATCTTAAACTTGAATTAATTAAACTATCATGCTCTTGTAGTTTTGACCATGTTTTTCAAAATTTCCTGATTTTTCTATATAAGGAGGTGAGTTATGATCAACAAAAAATCTTTTTGTGTTTCTAAAAACATTCCTTATATGTTACTCAGATGTTTTCAGGACTGCGTTTTAAATTGATTTCTAACTTTTTATTCAAACAATTTGAAACCAGTTATGCAAGATTTCATTTTGACCCTTTTACCAAGTAACCCATCAGCTCTCCTCTGTTTTTATGGTGTTTTTTTTACCTACTTCTCTCAAACCTGAAGAATTTTTTGAAAGATCTCTTGAAAACTTTGGATTGACTGCTTGAAAATCCACCAATTATACATTAGCTTCATAATCTACAATCTTTGCATCTTTGTTCCTAAGTTCTTTAGATTACTTTTCCGATTTTCGGTTTTTGTGTGTGGAGAGTGGGTATACTGAATACATGTATGAACTATCTTTCTCCCAGAGGTATCAGTAGCTATGTATGTTCTTCAAATAGGTTAGAACAGCCTTCCTGTTATTCAATCATCCGTTTTGTGCTTCAATTCGGCCTAAAATGACGGTATGTGGACAAAATTAGAACAGATTCTCAGTAATCACTACTTTCTCCTCTATAATTTTCTTTGCTTTTACTAATATTAAGCCAATTTCTGTCAGAATGCTTATCAATAGGTTGTTGATCTTCTCATACCATAACTAATTTATAGCTTTATTAAAATTGTTTTGTGTTATATTGGAAGAAATGAGCTCATCGAAAGTCTTTAGAATCCCTCAATATATTAAGAAATTGAAAAGGAAGAGAAGCACTTGTTTCACTATTTAATTGGAAAAAAAAAAAAAAAGAAAAATGTATGAGATCTTAGTTTAACTAGAATTTCTTAATTTAATCTCTGTTTTGTATTTTGATTTAGCTAGAGTATTTTTTTTTTTCTTCGAAAGGTAGATAGTCTAATTTCTCAATGGTAATTTGGTTAAAAATTTCAGAGATCTTCGGAAAGTGAACTCACCAACACTAGACCGGAAGATGGCTCCTCCCAGCCGGCTGCAGAAGAGTCCACGGAGCCAACAACGGCGTGCGAGAACCCTAAAACACCATCTAATGACAAAGAAACTTCGTCCACAAAAGATTCCAAGAATGAAGCGCATAGTGAAACTAGTATGTCACAAGAAAAGACTCTGAAGAAGCCTGACAAGATACTTCCGTGTCCGCGATGTAATAGCATGGACACCAAGTTCTGCTACTACAACAACTACAACGTTAACCAGCCCCGTCATTTCTGCAAGAACTGTCAGAGATACTGGACAGCCGGAGGGACTATGAGGAACGTGCCTGTGGGTTCTGGTCGCCGCAAGAACAAGAGCTTGTCTGCTACACATTATCATCACATAATAGTGTCAGAAGCTCTACAAGCAGCTCGAGCTCATGCTGAAAATGGGGCTCATCACCCTCTTTCGAAACCCAATGGCACAGTCCTTGCCTTTGGCTCGGATGTTCCCATTTGTGATTCCATGGCTTCAGCTCTAAGCCTTACTGAAAAATCACAGAATTGTGTCCAAAATGGTTATCATCATAGACCTGAAGAGAGAATTTCCGTCTCTTCTGGAGGGAGAAGAAATGGGGATGATCGCTCAATTGAATCATCAATTACAGCTTCAAATTCAGTGGAAAAGGGAGGCAATGTCAGACTACAAGAATCAGTTATGAAGAATCTACAGAGTTTTCCTCCTCAAGTACCATGCTTACAAGGACCTCCATGGCCTTCTCCATGGGATTCAGCACAATGGAGGCCTGCAGTGACCGCGCCTGCTTTTGCCCCACCGGCATTTCCCATATCGTTTTACCCTGCACCACCTTATTGGGGATGTACTCTACAAGGCTCGTGGAATATGCCATGGCTTTCCCGGCCACCTTCTTCTTCTGACCACTCTGCCATCAGCTCGAGTCCTATTTCTCCAACCTTGGGGAAACATTCAAGGGATGGAAACCTGCTTAACACATCAAACTCTGATAAAGAAGAACTCCTAAGAGAAACCAATTCCGAGAGTTGTCTTTGGGTTCCAAAGACACTGAGGATCGATGATCCTAGCGAAGCTGCAAGGAGCTCCATATGGTCAACACTCGGGATTAAGAATGACAAGACTGATTCAATTCACGGCGGAGGTCTCTTCAAGGGCTTCCAATCAAAAGGCGACAACAAAAGTCACAGAGCTGAGACGCCGCTGGTGTTGCAAGCCAACCCTGCAGCCTTGTCCCGGTCACTTAACTTCCATGAGAGCACATAGTTTACAAAAGAGAGATGAAATCTGGTTATCGACTTTTTATGGTGGCAGCTGAAAGATAAACTAGAGTTCACAATCTTGCTATAGCTGACTCTCAAGAGCTGCAAGCACCATTTAGGCCATGAGACCATGTTGTGACAACCCTAATGCAGAACAATCAAGCTTAGAGGAAGACCAGAGAAGAGCTGGTATGTGAGCCTTCATTGTAGATAGAACATGTCTCTAGTTTGCTTAGTTTAGCTGCTCTGTTTCTATGTTTTCTGTAATAGTGAGAATAGTTTCTTTTGCAAGGAGTTTAGATGGTTTGCTAATAAGTGTTTTATACCTATATACAAGGTAGGCAGAGCTAAAAAAAAATCAGAGATTCTTGTAAACATTATACAAACTCTTTTGAATAAATTTGAAAATCTAAATAAGGAATTTCTTTTCAATTCTTTCTTGGGCCTTAAAGTAAAACAGAAAACTATACAAAAAACTCTATTTGGTTCAGTTTTTTGAAAATTGTTTTATGAAAATTTAGTTATAAAAAGATTTGTTTTCTTTTATTGTTCTCTGAAAACTATTTTTTGTTCTCTGAATTCTTGAGAACTGTTTTCAGAGTTGCAAATCAAGCAAGTCCCGATTTTCAAAATTCCCATTCTACAGGCTCATGACTTTTAAAAGTGGGCAAAAGATTGTTTATATGTCTCTTGCTTTGCTGATGAGCCACGCCAAAAAAACATAGCAATCATATCTAATAAATATGACGGATAAATTTCATACTTAGTGCGGATAAATTTATTGTTCAACCCTATATATTAGAAGAAGATGCCAAGAATACAGTTACATTAGTTATATCACTTTGATAATGCCACTGCATTAAAAGTCTTTCCTTAGAGCTCTCTTTATGAAATTTTATATATGGAAGGGCCAGCATGGAAATATTATTGTAACTGGAGGGCATTGCAAATAATAAAAATATCTTGTATGGCACTCCACTTGTAAAGATAAACTTGATGTGTGACAAAGGACCAATTAGAGCCTCTCTCTTTCAAGCCAAAAGGATCTTAAAGTCTAAACAACTAATGCCAAAAAGTAGAAAAAGATGAGGATAAAGTTTTCTTTTTCTTCTCCTTTTGCCTTCTTTTATGTTTCTTTCACATTTTCTCTTTGTTTAGAATCAATGGGAAAAAACATAGGTGTATAGCCTGCATTAACTGACCATGTGGTTGAAGTGATATTGTATGTTAATTTTTCCTTGGATATATCAAAATCATATTGACAAATGTCTCTGATTGAACAGCCAGGGTGAGACATTCATATCTCTCATTCTTGTTATCAGCAATGGATGGTGGCCACAATTTCTGCATAGTATTGAGTTGTTATGGACCCTACTGCATGTGATGCTATGGAGACCTTTAATATTGTTTTCTTTCCTATTTCTTTTTGTTTTTCTTTTCCTTTCCTTTCATAGCAGCCAAACATGATTTCTTTTTGCTCAATTACCACATCATAATCTGAGAAATATCAATTTACTAAAAATGTGAAAAGAATATATTTGAGGTAGATGACAAAATCCAAGCCATCCAATTTGACAATCAAGAAAATAAATTACATATTGATTGCAACTTGAATGGTTAGAGCCAACCAGGCCTTCAAAAATGAAGTTCATGAATCTTGTGGTCCCTGACGAAAATTCAACTCTTCTGGTGCATGTTACCATCAAGTCTTAATTGTACCAAATTTGGCTGTATTAAGAAAAAAATACATGAAATTTAAGTTGCCATAAAAAGCAAAATGTGAAAAACTTTATGACAAAAGGTAATGCCCACCAAACCTTTTAGAAAGTATTATACATGGTGCATGGCAATCAGAATAATAATACAAAATTGCACCTTTTTTTTTTTCTTTTCTTTCGATGCATAATTAATTAGGTGCGAGGCATTTATTAATTCAGTTGGAAAATAGTGTTCTAATGATCTAGAGGGGTGAATATGTCAACTTGTTTAATTTTTTTAATTGATTAAATTACCCATAATAACTAAATATTTACAATCACAATGTAAAATAATAAGTAAAGTTTAAGAGATGAAATTGCGTGGAAACCCTTTTGGGAAAAAACTACGGACACCTTATTGTCTCTAGCATAACCAATTTATTATCTCGAAGCAAATTTACAAATTTTGATTCAGGCTCACACCCTCTCCACTCTATTGTTGAATGTCTCTTGCTTAGCGACTCCTTATCCAACTGTTATAGAATTCACCTTACTCCTCAATACTTGTAGATAGGTTACTGAAAGAACACGAACACGAATACTCCTAGATGATATGTTCCCTTTGTAGTAATTAATTCACCTTCCTTTCAACAATATGAACTGAGAGAATTATGCTGCTCTGATTGAATAGGAAAATTTGATGTAGACTTTTAATACCTTTCAATCATACGAAAATAAATCACTTTGTGTTTAAGTGTGTGCCCTTAAAAAAAATAAAAAACATATTTTTCTTAATCATTCCAAAAGGCTTCGACAATAATGCAAAATATAATTCTTTATAGCCAACAGAGTTCTCAAAATATTTAGAAAAAAGTTTTAAAAACGCACTAGGAGTGAAGAATATCTCAAGGAGTTTGATCCAAAAAGGAAACTTAAAAGTCGTCAAAAAATGAAATCCTGCAAAGAAAATGTAGCCGGTCCAAAAAGTCCAACCCAAATTATAATACAACGGGGATTTTGAGTGCAAGACTAAGTGCGACCCATCCGATTTTCGTAAATTGATTGCACTTCTGATTTTAAAACCCATACTAGCTAAGTGGGACCTATCGGACTTGTCATATTTCAATATTATAATTCATCCAACTTAAATATATAAAGTGTCATTACTGCCAATTCAGCTCTCATGATCAAAACAAAAGATAAACCAAATATTATAATTGGATTGACATATTTTGGTCTTGGATTGACATATTTCGAGACCAAAATTTGTCAACACAAAAACCTAGAGCTCACACAAAAGTTCAAGGGTATGTTTTGTTCAATTTTCTATTTTTCAGTTCTAAAAATTCACAGAAACTTGTTTAGTTGTCCATTTTTTTTTTTTTTTTTTTTTCTCTTTCTCTAAAAGCTCAGTCAAGAAATTGTATATATTTATATAAGTATTTCTTATTATTCTCTAAAAATAATTTTTAATTTTTTTAAAATTAAACTTTATGAATTCTTGAGATTAAGGTCCCCCCAAAAAAATTACAAATGGTCTCATTAATGGGCCGATTCTTTCTGAATGTTTTGACTATGCTTGTTGGGCCTAAGCCCACTTTCAGTTCAAGCTGAACCCACTGTAAAATCTGTCTTGTTGAGCCTAGGCCTTATTGATTTGGACCGTCAATTTCAACCTAATATGGAGTAACTTTATTTATTTTTTATTATTATTATTTTCAATTTTTGAATGCTGAAATGAGAGGGAAATCGCCATTATGGATGACTGACATAAGGACCAACATATTTTGTGCTTTATGAAATGTGCAAGTGAAGTGCTCGGAAAAGTGATTGAAGAAATTAAGCTTTTTCCAAGGTGAAAGAATGGGAATGTACCTTTTACTTTCCCACCTATAAAGAAAATTAAAGACGAGAAAGGTATATGAGACTTTTTTTACTTCATTTTTTCTCTGCCAGTAGGAGAAGACTTAACTAATTAATTTGATTGCACTTTCACTGCAATAGGGTTCCAGAATAAAGGCAACACAAAAACATAAAGAAACACGATATCTTTTGAGTGTTGAAGTTCTGTTAAAGATGATATTTTGGGTGTGTGAGAGACTGCGCATTTAGGTGAACTTTCGAAATATATATATATAATGGTTAAATAAATATGTTTATTTTAACAAATCTAATGTTGTGTAAAGCACACTTTCCACTCTTTGTTTGAAAAGTTATGCAACTTTATTCAGGAAAAAAAAGAAAAAAAAGAAAAGGTTATGCAACTTTAAAGATGCATACCAAACAAAATACACAGAGAAAATGATATTTTTCCCTATTTCAAATCGGCTAAAGTTCATGGAAACACAATCACTAGGAATATATCCATACATTTTTTTTTTCCACTTGCATGTTTTGTGACCATTTATATGGTTCTCCTTAATAATCTTTTTAATAATGAATTGACAGTGCTTTCTCTTCCACCAAGCAATATATTTGCCTAAGGTCCTACAAGGGAATGAGACTCCATTCTTATTTCACTTGTAATGAAATCTATTGTAGGTTTAAAAAGTCTTTCCAAGCTTTTGATTTGGGTCCATAAAAATATACAGGATTTAAATTATATATATACTTTATTCAGTGTGATAAATTACATTAAATTACGTAATATGTAGCCTAGTAGAAATTAAAATATATTCTACCACCATTATTTAGTTTTTTTTTTTTTTTTGTCTCACTTGTTATGATCTAATCTTCTTGATTTATACTTCTATCCTAATTTATATATGTGTGTGTGTGCTCGCACCAGTGTGCAGGCTTCCTCATGCTTATATTAGGTCTTGTCAAGTATAAATCTGATTCTGACATATGATTTTGATAGATTTTATTATGTTGATTCAATAATATATACATATATGTTAATTGAACTAAGACAGTTGTACCATTCGGTCAGAGTGGCAGACCCATTGTTTTCCATCAGATCTTATTAAATAATGATGATAAACATCTAGTGAGAATAATAATGGCCCATATTGTAAAAACCTAAATGCAAGTCATGCAAATAACAAAACTATTACCTTCTGATGGTAAAGGTAACCCGCGGGCCTACTCAAAGAATTAGCAAATGGTATTCACTTTAAACGTAATACAAAACAAAATTGAAATAATTTGTTACCACGATTTGAATTCATTCTAGATAATTTCATGATTCTTCTATTTGCACTTTTTAGGTTGTATTGGGTTTGATTTGTTTTGTTATTTGTTTTGAACTAGTTTTGCTGGGTTCATTGCTGATAACTAGCCTGTTGGGTACTCTCAAAAAAATAGATGAAGTTATGTGCTTACATTAAGTGAGGTTAGAGGTTGTTGGAGTTGTTAACAAGTAAGAATTTGGCCGCAGTGGGTGGCCATATTGGAATGGTTTGAGTGTGTTTAGCGTTCAAACCTCGGAAGTATTATTAACGTGGGAAAATGTTGTGAAACTTGGGGTGTGTTTTTCATACTTTCTGCGGATATTGTTTCGAATTTTACTTTCATTGGGATATGTCTTGTAACTCTACCATGTAGTTTCAAAAAAATAATAAAATCATGAATACCATTTCTTTCTCGCTCACTCAC